AGTCTAGTTCTCTTGAGTGGAGGCTGATCATAGTGAAGATGGCCATTTTCTGTTTTGTTTCCTAGTCCTGGGGGTCTTGAGTCTGCCAGTGCTGCTTAGCTGATCCTCCATAATTTTGCTCTTTTTTTGTGTGCCCTGACAAGCCTCACAGCACCTGCCCACCCATGGAAACGGAGGCTCTGTTGCTTTCGGTTGGCATATTGAGCAGTGGGTCCGTTACTCGATGCCCAAACCCTTGTTCCACCATCAAGAGCTGCTGAGGCTTAGCAGGCTGCTGGATCTCCTTCTCCTCCTCCTCTCTCGCAGGCACTCACCGCAGCCGATCTGAACTTGGTCCTCTACGTCTGCGAGACCGTCGACCCTCAGCAAGTGTTTGGGCAGCTCCCTTGCCCACTCTCCCAGCCCGTCCTCCTCTCTCTCATTCAGCAGCTCTCCTCGGACCTGGGAGCCCGGACGGAACTCAAGCTGAAGTGAGTTTGACCCAGCAGGGGGCACCTCTCCAAGGGCAGCCGCTGTGTGTCTTTCATGATAACAAATAGAAAGTTAAAATTATGCATCGGGGAAACCCGATTCCACAAACTGTATACATTATATAGGTTTTGGTGGGAGATCATGGAGAAACTGAATGGCCTAGCCCTGTCCACTGGAAATCCTATTCATCTGCCTCTCTGGCTCCTGAGATTTCAACAGGCATTGGTTACCCCATGTGTTTGGGAAGCAATACTGTAATGATTCCTTGTTTTATATGTGTGTGTGTCTCTTTAAAAGTTTGGTTGCATGGCTGTGTGGTGGACTAGAGTATTTGAAGAGACAAGTGTGGTGTGATTGGTGATTGACAGAGGGGGAGGGGTTTTGGAAAGTGTTTCTGAGTGGATGAATGGGTATGTCCTTCAGGAGTGACAGTTAGAGGTTTGGGAGTTGATGAAGACAGTTAAGGAGTTAGTTCTGAAGTCTGAGAGAGAGACAGTATTGTGTGTGATACAAGAGTTAAGTTCTGTGTATGAAGAAAAGTTGAAAATATAAGGAAACAAGAAAGTAAAGTTAAAGAGAAAAATAAAAAGTCTGAGTGACTGACTGGAGTGAAATAGGAAACCTATATGACCCTGAGTAATGAGTTACAAAGTTACTTGAAAAATCCCTGTCAGAAAGGGAGCAGATCTTGTGGGAGACACAACGAAATTGTTAAAATTATTCACATTACTGGTTACATTGTTCTACACTTTAATCTATGAACTGTTTCAATAAATCTTCTTTTATTTAAGTCTGCCAGCTCTGAAAGAAATAATTTCTCAGGAAACACATAGACCCTCATGAAAGCCTAAAACCTCGACCTACCTACCCAGTGATAGCCAAAAGAAAGTATAAAGGTTTGGAAAGCCTAAAATTTCCTGGTGACAGCCTAACCTACCCAGTTGAACAAAATAAAAAGAACACTTTAAAGTGAAACCAGGCCTCCCCAGATAAGGGGTCGTCACAAATACGTATTACAGTCATAAGGGGTTGGAACCTTATTAAGACCACAGGGGGTCCTTTGCACATTTGCCTGCCGCTCCAGGTTTTCTCAGTGTTCGAACTGAGGCATGTTAAGTCCATGGCAAAACAGCATCCAAATAACCCGGGGCAACAGCAGGCTGAAACCAGG